CTACCATGAATTCACTGAGGTGTCGTTTCTTGTCCACAGTCATTGATATCTTAATTATTAGATATTAATACTCCTAGTATTATGGTATTCTGGTTCATTGTCAATTTTTTGAATAAAATAATATTTTTATCCTATTTTTTATTAGAATGGTCATAATCAAGAGGGCTAGTGATACCGTATTAGAAAAATAAGGTAATTAAGGGCTTATATTTTCGTATTTATTATAATTTTGCTAATAACTTTGGTTAGAGAAAAGATCTCAAGATTTTCGCTGACTTGTTAAGCTTTTATTACTCTTTAGTGTCAGCTAAAATTACATATACTATCGTGTTTAATTTTTTTGAAAAAATGCGTAATAATTGTTAAATTGTAAGACAGCGCTCACTAGCGTCTACGTTCAAAAGATTATTTTTATTGTTTATGTGGTATAATATAAAGTAAGAAACGTTCTTTTAAACGAGCTCCCGTTTGTTGGATTCCGATCATCCAGTCCGGAATTATTAACATTTAAATAAAAATAGATCTAACCTTCCCCCACCACTTTATTTTAGCAGATAGGGGAAAATGGTTCTAACAAAAAAGATTCAAAAGTTACTGAAAATTATGAAACTATTATTTATGGTACATCGTATCTAGGCAAAATTTCTTAAAAATTCCATTTTGTTATTTTCCGTAGCAGTTACGCCTTCTAGCGGCCGTCCTACAAACTTGAAAATAATTTCCAGCAATTTCTCATGTCCTCTTTAGTTATAAATATTTTTTTCCGCAAGCTCTACGACAAATACATTCCGAGATACAGCCGAGAGCTATTCTTAGTGGGACACCCTGTACAGAAAAATCGGGGGTCTTATTAAAAAAAAAACGTAAAACTATCATAACTTCTTTTTGGCACACCCTGTATACAACAAAATATGCCTCTTTATAAACCACTAGCGTGTACCAGCGACTTCGTTCGCGTCGAATTAATCATTTGTAATGGTGATAAAGCAAAGCAAGAATTTCCATTACCATACAAACTGGATAAAATTTTCTCACATTTATGTCAGCATGAGAAAAAACAGTATTGCGATATTATTATATAACTTGGTAATATTTGAGGGGTAGTTTCATCTCGTTGGAATTTGACTTTCGAAAAATCCGTTTGCCAAAATGCTTTTTACGTCAAGCAGTTTAAGCAGAATCGTGGTTAAGAAACTACCCAACTTTTTGGAACACCCTGTATGATTTTTTAAAAAATTTCAAAATATGTAAAAAACCAAATAAATTATGCTTGTCCAAGCGTTTTCCCGAAAGACTAACCGTTTTTTAAATAACAAATATTGTAATATTTCAGGGGCGTTTTCCCCCTCTTGGAATTTGAGATTCGAGAAACCCCTCCGTATCGAACCTCTACTCCCCACAGTCAATCCGTTTGTCAAAAATCAGCTTTAAATGTCAAGCAGTTTAAGCAGAATCGTGATTACACAATGGTCATATTTTATGAAACACCCTGTATAAATTTATAAAAAATCTTAAAATTTGTAAAACAACAAAATAAAATATACGTGTTTAAGAGTTTTTCCGAAAAACTCACCGGTTTTTACATAAAAAATATTTTAATATTTGAGGGATAGTTTCACCCCCTTAGAATTCGAGTTTCGAAAAATCCCTTCTTATCGAACCTGTACTCCTTAAAGTCAATCTGTTTTCCAAAAATCAGCTTTTTATGTCAAGCGCTTTAAGCAGGATCGTGATTAATCAATGACCAAATTTTTCGAAACACCCTGTATACATTTTTAAAAAATCTTAAAATATGTAAAAAAACAAAATAAAATATACGTGTTTAAGCGTTTTTCGGAAACTTGGCCGTTTTTTAAATAAAAAATAGACAGTTAAAGCACGGCCAAAAACGTAGACGTAAACGTATCGTTTGACATGTACGCTTGCGCAGTGAGAAATTCACTTGCGTTTACGGATACGCGGTACGTATCTTTACGTGCCTTTACGTACCTACGTCCAAAACGCAAACGTATCGAGCCGAAGGAGTTTCGATTTTCACCCGAATGATGCTGAACGTACAAATTCACAAACAACTCGTTTCCACAACTGGCTAGTAATTAAGTTATTTCATAAATTTTGGTGCTAGTGTAACTGAATGGTAACAGAACTGGACCTATTTTATTACAATAAATTAGTATGAAAATATTAAGCATCATAATAAACTCATTTTGGAATCTATTTAATTAAATGCTAGTTCTTAGCCAAAATCCATATGAGGATTCTAAAAGATGGAATCTAATAATCATAAAACTGTGTTTGTTTTCCAATATATTTTATTACTTAGAGCATTTTAAGTTGTAAGGACTACTTTCTGTAATAAAATAATTTCCATTTATGATTTTCTTCATTTTTCGATATTACATATATAAATCTAATGTAAAATCAGTGGAATAATAGATATCCATCAGTTTTAAAATTAAATAAATTGTTTCACAAAATAATTTAGAATTACAAATGTACCATTTGCGTTACGTACGTCAAAATACTTGCTTTAACTCTTGTTTACACGACAACGCAACGGTAGACGTAGCGTAAGGTTTCTGCGTTACGTGTCGAGAGATACGTATACGTATTGTGCCTTGCTTTAACTGTCTAATATTGTAATATTTGAGGGGGGTGGTTTCACCCTCTTGGAACTGGAATTTCGAAAACAACCTCTACACCCTAGAATCAACCTGTATGCCAAAATTGAGCTTCTTACGTTGAGTGGTTTGAGCAGGATCGTGATTAATCAGTATGTCAGTCACTTAAGGATTTTATATATTAGCCTTATATTTTATATTAGTATATGTAGATGTAACATTTATATAAAAAACTTTCATATCTTCGACAACGGCGACGATATTGGACTTCCTCGCACTAATGTGCCTCCTTGTATGTAAACTCTGGCAAAAAAAAATAACGATTTCGACCAGACAGAATTTGAAAAAATACTTATAACTTTCTTAATACTATACTACCGTTAACTGTAGTCACAACTGCCACTGTTATTTTCTCGTTGGACAGACTATATACCGAGACCGTATGATCGAAAAAAATGGCGTCAAAGACATGTCAAAAATGCGAATGCTAATATTCGTTACATCTCCAAATCCCCAAACTCGTATTCGCTGGTGCTGTTCGTCGATGCGGTTCGTTAGTTCGTTTGGAAAATTGTCTGTTGTGTTCGTGATATTTCCGCATCAGCGAATAGTAAGTATGGGGGTGAAATCCAAAGTACACATTTAACCAAGTCGACCTAGGTACTCAAAGTTCTAAAATAATTCGGCTGATGTCTTGTCGCCAACAGGAATCGAACTTTGAGTTGTACCCAAGTTGTACCTATATAATAGATATGTACAGGGTGTCTTATTTTCGTGTGTTTTATGGGTTGTCTGATTTACGAGTAGATTTACAAAGATGCGGTTTTCACATTACTGTGCTACTTTTTATGAAACTAAAGATGTCACACACAGATTTGTCCTATTCCTTTTAGCTCCTGAAATACAGGGCGATTTTTTAAGTTGTTGCATTTTTGGACCCCCTTTCTATCTTGGTTATTAGTACATTAGTTTTTGTTAGAATCAGTCATTTTTGAAATATGACTCAAATTTGCAATTTTTTAAATGGGACACCCTGTGTTTCTTTTATTATATTTGACTTTTAATTAATTTTATAAAAATATAATATACTCTATATTTATATTAATAAATAAGGTTAAAAATGCATTATTTACCTTTTTAACACAAATCGACTTAACTTAAATAAGTCTTATTATTTTATATATAATTTAAGTGAACCAGATAATCGTGATATCGTTGATTGAAGAAATAAGATGTGCAACCTTATGGGTGATTTCGTGGCACACGATCTGTCCGAGACGTAGCTGCCGTTAGCGTCAGGCTGTCCGAGATTTAGATTAGTTCTGCGCCGCTGCGCGCTGAACGCAGCGCTGAGTCGTTTACAGCAAAGTTTACAGCGCAGCGAATAAAGAATACTCTACCGTAGTTCTGCTTTCAGTCGACAGAGTGGGTGGTTGTCGGAGACAGTGTTGCCAGAACTGCGGATTAATCCGTAGATTTACGGATTTTCGGTACAGTACGTTAATTAATAAAACAATTTAATATGATATTATATGATTAAACAAAGATCGGCGTCAGAGTTGGCTTGGAAATGAAGATCGCTGTTATTTCATATGTAAAATATTATGGTCAGTGTCAATAATTGTTATTTCCAAGTCAACTAAACGACTTTTTTCGATCATACGAAATATTCAGTACCTATAAAATAATTTTTATTTTTGTTGTTTATTCTATATTTAACACGACTACATTTTCAATACATAAACGTGGTAACAACGATTTTTTTATTCAAAGATATTTTCGTCAAACGTACCTATTACAGATATTACACATTTTAATACGGCATCACTGTCGCTTTCAGTTCCACACCGTCTTTGATATTCCTTCGTTGGCCGCAGAATGATTGGTGTCTCCACCGTAAAGCACATCGTGCAGGGGAAATATAATATATAATAAATAAACCTTGTCACGAATTTGCTCATTAGGTTGCGTATCTTCCCAATTCTTTGAATTAACGGTGATATATTAATAAATTACACAGAAAATGAACTTGTGCTGCTTTTAGATATCAGCTGTCAATCGGAATTATTGATATTTTTTATTTCACATACCAGAAACTAGCGTAGAATAGCCAGTAACCAAAATTTGACGTCGAATAAATTATTCGATTATTTTGATTGTCTAATTTAAAAAGGCCGCCTATGTTAAAAAGTTAAATAATGTATTTTGTTCAAAATGTGCAGAACGTTTAAGTTGTTTGTAGGTAAGTAAAAACTAATGATTAGTGATACATACGAGTCGAAACGTCCGGTAATTTGCCATTGTCTATCAATATCATTCATACTTCTTCTCTATCTTTCAAACGTACAAAAACTTTATTTGGTATATACTTTGCCTTACTATTTGTTCTAATAACGTTTGACGATATCGAATTATCTCTGCCCAAAGTTCTCTTTTTCTCTTTTCTTCGTATATCTTATGATATTCTTGAGCTTTGTATCTATTTAACGTTTCCCATTTTTGTATTTCAAGATCCTTACGCCTCTTTTCTGCTTCTCGTTGAAGTACTTCCTGACGGTTTTCTAATCGTTCTCGTTTCATTTTCTCTTGAAACTCTAATTTATCTTTAATTTTCTGTAACTCTCTACGGTTTAAACATTTAAGATTATATTTCTACTATGATATGAATGATATATGATATTGTATAGAACACAAATATCATAAATGAAAGATGAAAGATAAAAAAGTTGCTTTTTAAAAATAAAATTTGATGATTATTTTTGAAGTATTTTCAACTTTATATCAGAACGTGTAGTCTTTGTCAGAACCACATTTGCAGAACAGAAATAAATAATGAATCTTTGGGCACTGATGATTTTTTTTATAAATTCATATTATCGTCTATTGTGTAGAATGGGTTAGGTTAGGTTACACTCTACAAAAAAAAATCAGTTGATTGTAGTATGATAAAAATATATGATATAGTTGGTAAAAATATGATAGAAAATACCGAGGGTGTCTCACTTGGGTAAAAAATGTACAGGGTGTACCATTTTGATTTAATTTATACGGTATCTCAGTTATTCATGAAGAGAGAAAGGTACGATTTGCACAAACCTGTCCCACTTTTTTGCCAAACAGAAGATTCCGTAAACAACATTTTCATAGCCCTCTTTGTTTTTGAGCTACTTTTAGCTACTTTTGAAAATTTTGCAATTTTAGACACCCCCTGTATCTCTGTTATTGTTAAAGGTATAGAGAAGGTAAAAACTGTATATTGTAGAACTTTTTACGTAGAATGCATCTGTTATTCTACGAAAATAATATTTTTAAAGATATGAACTATTATGTTATCTTTAAATGGAAAACCCTATCTATTTATAAATTATATCATCTGGCTTGCCATCAGATTCCCAAAGATATATATCACTTTATACTTATAAAAAATATTAAAATATCGTATTTATTAGTAGGCCATGATTGATGATAAAAGAAACTAAAGAATTATAAAGTATAGTGATATCTGTCTTTTATTTTATTTTGGGAGCCACTAATAAATTCTTTATACATTAGGAAAACTTAACTCTCTACCGCTATTTGTAAATCTTGGAAACTATCGTATCGAAACTTTTAGATATTTCTTTAGTTAATTTACGTGAAATATACTTTCAGCAAGATGGAGCTCCTCCTCACAATTTTGAAAATATTAGAATTTTGTTTAATTAAAATTATTTCTCAAATCAATGAATTGGAACCAATGCAATGGACCCATATGATGGCTTTCCTGATTCCCGGATAAAAAAATACGGGTCTTAGCTTAACCGCCCGGACTGAACACATATTTAAAAAAAAAACTGGCGTAGAATTTTGAACACTGCCCGACGCACTCTTGTAGGACCCTGGATATATCCGAAAAAATCATATTTATATCCCAATTAGAACTTTTAATAAATCTGTTGTGTGAAAGATCCTGTACATACATCGCATCCTTCTCCGCTATTGCCTTTTGGAGAATTTCGTTTTCGACAGCTTCTCTATTCTCCCTCTCAGCCATTACCAAAGCAGCGATTTTCTGGCGTCGTTCTACCTCACTATCTCGTAACTAAAATTATATATTTTAGTGTTAGAACATTAATAATTTATTAATTCAATATATAAAAATCAAACTGGCTAAATTACCGCCGGCGATATAGACGAAGTAAAGACCGCCGTTAGAAGGTTTTATATATTTTTCGTCATACTATATTGTTATATTATTATAACATAAGCAAAATCAGAATGGAAAAGATGCATATAACGTCCGCCGGACGTTATCATAACGGCCGGCGGCCGTTAAGTTTCTAAGGTAATCGTAACGTCTGTCACCTGCAACAATGACTATTTATTGTCAGTTGGACTTTTCAAAAATTGGGAAAATAGACCATAGCGAGATGTCGCGAGAAATTCCGTTGGAAATACAGGAGGAAGCGGCTGCGGCTACTCAAAATTTACTTCCGACTATAACCAGAGAGAGATATCAGCAGGAATATGACAATTTTTGAAGTGGCGGCAGGATAGAAGTATAAACAGCGTAAATGAAGCGGTATTGCTGGCTTATGCTAAAAGAATGTCTGAAATGTATTCTCCTACATCACTGTGGACAAAGATATCCATGCTGAAGCTTGCGTTGAGAGTATATGAAAACATCGACATATCAAGGTAAAAGCCATTATATTCTTCGATATTTAATCATACTCATCTAAATTATATTTGTTCATAGATTTGGTAAACTGTTCATGTTTCTGAGGCGCAAAACGAAGGTTATTCACCAAAAAGCCAAAGTTCTGTCGGAGAATGACATAAATAATTTTCTACTGGATGCCGATGATTACACCTGGTTACTCGAAAAAATTGTATTGGTGCTTGGTATTCTTGGAGCTTGTAGGCGCAGCGAGCTTTGGTCACTCACAGTTGATGATTTCGAAGATTCGGAGAAAAATATTCTTGTCTCATTAAGAAATACTAAAAATAAGAAAGATAGGAAATTTCTTATTCCAAAACGGGCCTTCCGTTTGATGCCTATGGTTTATACAAAAATACATCAACCTGCGTCCTCGTAACTTTGACAATCCAAAATTTTTCATTGGTTACAAGAAAGGCAAGTGTGTTAAGCAAATCGTCGGTATACATACCATCGGGAGCGTACCGCAGAAAATTGCAAAATTTTTGAACTTGGAGAATCCAGAACGTTATACAGGGCATTCATTTCGTAGATCATCAGCAACCATGCTCGCCGAAAATGGTGGTGATTTACTATCGCTAAAGGAGCTAGGAGGATGGGAGTCTTCAACAGTGGCAGAAACTTACATAGAAAAATCAGTTTCCAAAAGAATGAAAATAACAAATCAACTTTTTCATGATAGCTCCAAAAATAATGTGTCTTTAGTGGATACAAATATTTGCCATTCTTCAGTAGCATCATCTTCTTCTATAAAATCTGTAAATCCCTGGGAAGGATTACAGATTTCTAAGAACAACAAGTGCACTTTTAATTTCCATGTTCATTATCATGAAAAATGAATTTTAGTATAAGACATTATGTATTTTTTATCCTTACTTGTGTTATTGTTCAATAAAATTTGTTATTAAATAGTAGTGTTTATTGCTCTAAAAAATCTGCAGTATGACGAAAAATCTAGAACGCAACACGGCCGATAACAAATAACGGCCTTGGCTGCTTATGATCCTCGGCTATCGCCTCGGATATTTTTATCGTTATTTGTTGTTTATCGGCCTTATTACGTTAATAATTATAATATGAATATCGCCGAACAACGAAATAATTTTTTCAGTACGGCGGTTGTTGGTAAATACACAAAGTCGCTGACCATGTATGGGAACATGGGAACGGTCGATTATTAGGTAAAAAATACAAGGTACGGCAAAAAGTTAAATACAAAAGTTATAGGATTTTTAAATGTCTATTAGCTAGTAGTAAATAAATCTAATAAATAATTCTGGTAACTAAAAAGAAACAAATATTTAATACTTTATTATCAGAATATAAACGAAAATAAAATAAAAAAGTCTTTGACCTGACCCGGATTCGAACTTTGAATCATCGGTTCGTGGTCGGAAACTCTACGCACTGCGCTATGGAGACATGCTCGATTAATATTCAATACTAGAATTTAAAGGACTAATAAAAATATAGGATCTTCTTTCAATGCGCAGTAGAGATCGCAACGTTTACCAGCAGCCAGACGGGCCGCATGCTGTTCTAGAGAGCATAGTTAAAGATATATAAAAGAGCCAGACGTCTTAAAATACTTGTTTTTCCGACGTTGCTAGCTCTCGTCCTATTATGTGTTATTACGTTTCCCAACGTAATAACACAAGTATTGTCAGTATAAAACTACATAGAGTAATCGCAAAACAATTTCCGATGCAGGTGATTAACTTTGAGTGACGAGCAATTACGACAGCGCTGCCAGATTGTGATGGATTTATGAGATGAGTCTTATTGTAAAATTGGGAAACAAATATACTTACTATCATTTTTTAAGGTTTTTTCGTTTTATTTTTAATTTAATAACTAATATTTTAGTAATTAAATTGATTTATGTGTTTTATAGCTTATTTTACTTAATGCACAAACTAATAATCACAAAATTAAGTAAAGACTAACGTCGAAATAAATTTGAAAGTGGTATAATGTGCTTACCACTGCACTTTCTTCTCTGACTGCAGTCAAGGATAAAAAGGACCTTTAATATCACGTTCTCGTTCAAAATAGTTTATCAGGAAAGCTACAAGATCTTTGCTTCGACTGTTTAAATGCTTTGGCATATTTTCAACACACTGTTTCAAGAAATGCAATACAAAAACTCAAAAATTTTATTCATAAAAGAACTGTTTGAGCTTAAAAGTAAAATTAAAAAAAAAACTATGAAAATAGGCAAACTACGAGAATTACTCACACAGATTCAACAGCAACACGATATTATACAAAATAATGACTGACATTAGGATAATAGTCAAATAATAAACGACAACGTTGCTGAACCCGGCGCAATGTGACCAACATAGCGATAATAAAATTTGGTTTAAACTAATTTTTACAGGTTTAATCTAAATAATAAAATACCTGTAACAATCATTTGCTCTATAACGTAAAATGAAGAGCTCCTCGGTATCTTAAATTATACAAAAAATTTAAACATTTTTGGCAAAATTTAATTTAGTCAGGTTTATAGGCTTTAGTGTCAATTTTGATATGATTGATGACGTGCATTGGAAAATGTTTTGCGATTACCGGTATACAAAAATTTATGACGTGTTAGATGCAGAATTAGCAAGCAATGAACACTAAACTTTTTTATCACCTAGTCAAAATGCAAAAATAAAGGTTATGTTATCATTTCACAATGAGTTCATCAAAATGGAGAGATTTAAAACAGTAATGTTTGGCGGTCAAGGGGTCTTAAGTTCTTCGCTTACCACGTTTGACTGCTTTGGTTTCACCTAGCCTCCCTGTTTGATTAAGTAAGGGGCATTCGAATGCTTTGAATATATACAAAAAAATTATTTTGATTTTAAAATTGAATATTTTATAATTTTTGACAATTAAAATGCCAACTACAGCTCAGTTCAAGTCAAAAAATGAAAATGCAAAGATATTAAGTTGTGTTATTATCTTGGCGGTATTTGATGTTTATAATACAGTATGGCCGCAGTCTGCCAGGTTAAGTGCATACAGCAACGACAGATTAATTCAATTTTCCACCGGCATTTACAGATATAATAATAGAAATATCATACCGCCCGACGACGGTATTTTTTTTTGTATAAACTAACAATACCGCCGGCGATTGTTTAGACTGTGTGTATAAAAATACTTCTTTTTCGCGTTGTTTTCTCATGCAATCGATCCTATGCTTGGCGACTTGGTAAACTTTTACAACCTCGTCTAATTCCTTTTCTTCTCTTTCGTGCTGTCTTTTTCCTTCTTCAACTTCCTTCAAAATCTTCTGATTTTCTGTTAGTAATGCCCTTTTCTTCTTTAATTTCTAAAAAAATACATATGTTATTTTTTTCGTCTATTAAGTTTTTATTTTTACATCTTGTTCCATTATTTTATCTAATTTTTCTAATTCTTTCATTGCTTCGATATTATCTTCAGCTTCTTCTCTAACAGTAGTTTCTTTAAGAGCTCTTTCAACTTCTAGCTTTTCCTTAATACTAAAATATAATAATAGCTTTTGTAAACCTGTTAGTAAATATATGGTGTTTGAAACAATGATATTCTAAAACTAAAAGAGTTCCATTGTCGCTATTTATTTTGCTCACACAACGTTTCGGTCAGAAGTATCACTGACCGTTATCAAGTGTGTACCCGTGGTGTGTACTAAACTAAATCATAAAACTACTGAGCTTATATTATGCTTATATACTAGAGCCGAGCATTCGCTTGTGAATTTGTTGGGTGCAGTCAAGCATGAGGTTTTCCACTAAGAACACCTGCATTGGAGCGTTTTATGAGTGGTGCCATATTGTTGAAATTTCCTTTAAAAAGGCCGTGTTTATTTCTAACAATAATAAAATTTTTAACAATCCTAGTATGAAAATTTCAACAATATGGCAACCACTCATAGAACGCTCCAATGCTCGCTGTCTTGGCCTTGGCTGTAGTGCCGTGACCAGGGAATTGCACCAAGACATATAATGATACCGGATGGGACTACCCTGTCCGTCATACCAGGCATCATTTACTGTCTGTGATCATGTATCACGCTTAGAGAGTGTAGCAGAGTCATGACTTAACTTGCCAAAAGAAGACAACCTCACCAAAAACCTAAATCCTACGAAGTGACCAGATCAAAGGGATGCGTGATTAAATAGAAGACTAGTCTCTACTGATCTCAACCTTGGGGCACTAGGGGGCAACCCATTGTATTCTCGTCTCCCTTACTTCTACATGCGGGGCTCTGTAGAAGTGGACCGTCTAACCCTTGCGGTTTATCACCAGCTTTGACAGAACTCCAATTAAAGGACATCGTGTTGGCGAGTCATCAACTCGTGAGAGGAGGGTTATGGTCGGGTGCTCACAATAGGAATTGATCTCAAATTCAAAAGGGGGACATATCCTCTATTGTAGATGCGGAACAATACCGGTATCAGGTCTAAGGAGCGACCAAGTTAAAGAGGTGGAGAAAATGGAGACAGGTTCTCCAGAGCCTTCACCTCACGGGTACCTCAGCTGGAGGGCTACCCCAACCGTGGAAGGGTGTATCCCCTCGTAGGAGGCATATGTCCATTCCTCGGAGGATGAACAGTTTTTGTCAGAGTATTTTTGGAGACCCCCATGATAGACTGTATTATGACTTATAGACTGTATGGTGAGTTATAACTCAAGAAAAAGGGACACAATAGATCTCTAAGGTCGCGGTTAACAGGTGAAGAATACAGGTGAAGGACAGAAATAGATGGAGAAATATAACTGGGCCTTTTAGGATTTTAGAGCTATTCTATATACAGGGTGGTCCGAACTGTATTCCCGCAGCATATTCTGCAGACAAAAATAAGTAAAAAGTTCGTATAAATGTATGTCCTAAAATTAGTTCGGCTTAGTTGCGGAGATACAGGGTGTAGAAATTTCAACTTTATTTCTATTTTTTCCAACTAATTTCTGAAGTAACATCAATATTGGGATGAAAATTGACGTCTGGGAGTTTTTTGACATGATAAATTTGATTTTGATGTCAATATGGCTTCTACTTGTAGAGGGCGCCTCCTACATACTTTTTATTTGGTTTGAAGAGTAATAACTTTTCGTCCGTACCTGTATAAAGCTACTGAGTAAAAAAATATACATTCACGATGTTTTCTACGTAAAAAAGGTCTCTTGGTAAAAATCGTTACGAGTAATGGTTTTCGAGATATTTGAAATCGAAATTATCAATACCTCTCATCATTGACATAAATTAAACAACGTTGACTAAATAGTTATTAGACTGAAATCATAAATTTGAAATGCTTTTGTGCCAAAGGTTAAACAAAAACTGTTTTTTTTATCATTTTTTCGAAGAGAAATAATTAAACTATTTACTCAACATTTTATTTTTTGTCAATAATTACATGTATTGACTCTTTTCATTCTAAATATCTTGAGAACGGTTGCTCGTAGAGATTTTTACAAAGAGACATTTATTACGTAAAAAATCACGGAAATGTATATTTTTCACTCAGTAGTTTAGTCAGGTACGAAAAAACGTACGGTAACCTAAACGAAAAGTTATTACTCTTAAAAACTGTTAAAACACATGTAGGTGGCGCCCCCTACAAACAGGAATCATATTGACATCAAAAATCAAATTTCTGTCAAAAAACTCCCAGACACCAATTTTCATCCAAATATTGACGTTATTTCAGAAACTATTTCGAAAAAAGCGAAATAAATATGAAACTTCTACACTACACCTTGTATCTCCGAAACTAAGCATTTTCGGACACACATTTACATGAAATTTTTTACTTATTTTTATCTTCAGAATATGCTACCGAAGTTTCCGGAATACAGGTCGGACCACCCTGTATATTTTGTTTTTCACGATGTCTGATATTAACGATTGGATCGGTGTAGCATGGATCATGGAATCTTTTATTACATCTTTTATTTCATATATATTGTTTAAGGTGGTTACACTCGAAATATAAGAACCGTATTGATAGAATAATATATTAAGAAGATACCTATCCCTTAAGTTACTGCCGTATATTCTTTGTTTCTCAGCTTCTTTTTCCTGCTCTTCTATTTTTTTAATTGCCTCTGCTTCAACTTCTTTTTTCATAATATCCACATATTTTTTATTTTCATCTAATTCGTGTTGTTTTATCTTATTTTGCAGCTCAATTTGCTTTTCTCTCTCGTACAGAACATCAGATGTGACCAGTGCACTTGTTAATGCTCTAAAGGAGGGAATATTTTATAGTATTAAATTAAATTAGGAAACATTTTATGGTAGAATTTAGAGGCTATTAGTAATTTATCTTTATTACAAGAATAATAATGAAGAATTTAGATTTCAAGTTTATCTTATACAAGCTACTAGCCTTGTAGGTTATGTATATGTTAATCAAGAAGAAGGAGAAGGAGAATGTAAAAAATACATACCTTGCATAACCTGTGCTCATGAATATCTGTTTATGAACTTTATCTCTGTATTGTTTTCTAATAGCTTCTTGTTCTTTACGTAACGCCATGAACTTTTGCATTCTGTCATCTTTTTTCTGTTCAATCATCTTCAGGCGCTCCTCTTCTTTTCTTTTACGAACGTTCTGTAAATTTCTATTGCTTTAGTATGTATTATGTATGTAAATCTTTGGATATCCATAATGTAAAACAGCCTCTACATTATCCCCGAAATGTTTTACGAAATATTTCTGGAAATATTTCGTAATAGTATTTCGCAAAACATTTCTGGAAATAGTACGGTAAATATAAGCCCGTGTTATAAAAATTAGTTCCCACATTTCCAGAAATAGATCGAGAACCGCCATGATTGGTTGTTTGTTTTTATTGTTAAAACAGATTAACAATAAAAACAAACAACCAACCACGGAGGGTTTCGATCTATTTCAGGAACGTGAGAAAACTAATTTTTATAACAATGTGACAAGGGCTTATATTTATCGTACTATTTTGTGAAATAGCACGGAGCAATCAATGTCAAACGTGTGGTGGCTTCAGAAAAATAAGTAAACATGGAAAAACTGATATGAAAACAGTTACCGAGGGTAGATTAAATTGGCTATTCCGTAAAGGTTACACAAGAATATTTAGTTTTAATCATTGTCTAATATCATTAATTACAATATAGTAAAAAAAATATAAAACAATGACTAACTAGCGGTCTACTATTTATCGGCTTATAATCCGCAATATTGCGCCTCATGAACAAAATAAACACGAAATTATTTAAAAAATCCTCTCATTATTTCTTATTACTGGTTATGGTAAAGTAACATTTATACAGTAGTCTGTAGCAAAGTTTAGTTTACGACTTTGTTTTTTTTTCTAGTTTTAATGGTCTAAATCCATGCATAATAAAAACTAGTTGAATGGATTTATATCAAACCATGCTGGGTGCTTAATAAAAATATCGTTTACAAATTTCTTTTAAGAACAATAAAGGAACATTGCTTTTAAAAATGTCCGTGTACCATACTTTTGTTGACATCCGGTCCAACAACAATTTTCCCAATCAGATGGATATATTGATAATGTTACAAGTATTACTCATCAAGCAATACTACTCTTATATTAATCAATTAACCGTAAACAAACATATCATATACAATTTTATATACCAATTAATTATAATAAAATTAAATCATAGAAATATTGTAATAATTATATTCCTGCAGTTTAAGTGAAAAGTTTTGTTCCTAAATATCTACTATACATATAAACGCGTGTTCAAATATTAATTTTGTGGAACATAAAACGAGATGTAATTAACGAAATATCATCTTAAGAACAGATATTTTAGAAACGTCTAGTTTACTTATTTCACTGAGATTTATGAAAAAAGTCCTTTGCCTTGCGTACAGATACCGCCACGTTCTGGAAATAGCTCAAAACGAAACAAAATTGAACGAGGCAGCAAGAAACGCCAAAAAAAAATCCCCCTCTGCCCTCTTCACGAATAGTTTTAAGGCGCTATTAAGAATCGAAAGTAGGTCGAGGCAAACCGATTATCGAAGACAACTGGATATAAATGGAAATGCGACAAAGTTGGGCGACGAAATGCGACCTTGACCTGTTTCGAAGAGTTTTCCGCATAGTGTAGAGGCTGCTCTAAGATTTAGAGTTTAAAATAACTTTATTGGCAGCGTCGAGCGTCGTGCAGCGTTGTACAGTATGTCCCCGGATTGTCTTTACAAGAGGAAAAACTTTTTTATTATAGAAATTTTGAGAAAGATGCATTCTTCATTTTAAACATTTTGCTTCTTCTAGAATGATTAATCCCATTTATATTTTTTCAAATTTACATACCGTTTTAGAGAAAATTAAAAAAAAACATGAAAATATGGTTGAATTTTTTCCTGAAATTTTTTTTTTCCTGACTAGGCGTTTCTATGGTAATGTAATTTCATTTTAATTCTTTGATAGATTATAGATTGTTATTGATATAATTTTAATCCCATAGACCTAACAATTAACACCATATTTTTTGCTGTTTTAAAATGTTAATGAAGCACAACATTTATTTAGTTCAATGGTACGGAAAGGGTGATAATACTAATCGGAAAATGTGATATTAACAACAGTAAAAAATATGACTAACCAAATTGAATAATAACCATAGATAAATGAAACAAGTTTAGATTGGAAAGTGCCCATAAGGACAATGTAAACACTATTTTGGCGCTATTCTTGCAACGGTCGCGACCCAAAGCTTTTGATAATTTCGTATCGGCTTGGTTCGGCTTTTTCGGAATTATGTCGCCAAATATTATTTATTCAAATTTATTATTATTTTCTTTTAATTTTATAAATAAAAGACAGTGTGTAGCATACAAGAAACTTTATTTTATATAAGGACATAGGCATATTATGTGAAATACCTATGAAACATTGGAAACCGACGTTTTGCGTCCATGATGATTTTTGCAGTTCACAGTTTACAACACAAGTTTTTTAGTTTTTAATGCCACTTTTTCACAATTATCACGGGTTTGAGTGAGTAAAATTTAAATTAAACTCACAAGATAGCAATAATTACTTTGAGAATGGACGCTTTAAACACTTTTCGGTATTTTTTCAATGAGAGCAGTTTAAATTTTGAAAGATTTTATAATTTTTGAAGATTCTGATTTTGACAAGAGAAAATTATTTCTGTTATTGTTTGGCGGTTATTCTTAGCAACCGCTATAGCACCGCCAGATCGCGTACAACGGTTGTGACCCAAAACAATTAAATATTTTGACGGGCTTTCCAATCTAAATTTATTTCCTTTATCTATTATAATAATAATCTATCAAAGAATGAAAACTTTAATTTTTAGGACTTTAGGAAAAAAATTTACGATATTTTCATGTTTTTTCAATTTTCTCTAAAAAGGTAAGAAAATTTGGAAAATTATAAACGAGATTAACCATTTTAGAACAAGCAAAAACTTTAATGAAGAATGCATTTTTCTCAAAATGTCAATAATAAAAAAGTTTTTCATCTTGTAAAGACAATCCGGGGTCATACTGTATATTAAATAAGCGCAGCGTTGCTTTACTATGTCTTAGTTGCTTCTTAGCCATTACAAGATAATGACGTTGATAAAGAAGCTTTTAGAAAATTCATGCCTAAAAAACTTTTTCTTAGAAATACAAAAAACATCGAGACAAGATATTCTACCGCTAAAATTATTTTGCTGCGTCCCCGGAGCGGCATCGCGCAAAATTCACCGCTCGAGTGGTGCCAATAAGTACTCACACGAAGTCTTCATCTTTTGATGTACTTGTTATATTTGTTATAAAATATTTTAACTTGTGTTTAAAAAATCGTCGAGAATTAATAATTTAAGTTAGTAGTTAATAGAAAAATCTTCCGATGTCAGCAAAGATTTCTTAGTCATCCAAGGTAGATAGGAACACATTATTAATGTTACAATTTAAAAGTTTGGAAAACGTTAGCGCAAGTAATGTTATGGTTATTCTGTGTTCTTACTTCTAAGGAGTTTTCCCATTTTTCGGTCATATTTTTAGAGCCTTCATCCAGATATTGCTTTACTGCTTTTTCTTTATCAAGCGCCTCTTGAAGCATTTTCTTTCTATCTAAATGTTTCGTAATTCCCTTCCATGCCGAGTCTGTTATGTGCAAAGCGTTTACCCTGTCTGATATTTTAGTATTTTCCAGAGTCTGGCCTAAAATAAAAAGTTTTCTTTCATTTTGTAAAATATGCTGTGAATGGAACGAAATATCAGAGTCATTCACAAACGCCTTTAATTAAAATATTTTCAGAACCAAGTTACGTACTAATAAAAAAATGTTATAGGATATTTTCTATGTGTAATCGCTTATATCTTTTGTGCTTTTTAGATTGTTTGAACACAGCGCTTTAAGATCGTCGATTAAGATATTTGGTTCTCAGAGATCGCATTGCTAGCACCTGAGCCATTGCAAATCAGTGGTTTAAAGAAACTGGAAGGCCAATTTATTGTCCACATTTGGTGCTGCCTCTTACTACTGAATATCGACGTAACCGTCTGGATTGGTATAGACAAGGGTGAAAGAACTACATGGTAAAAGATCTACAGTTTGACAGAGAACGTCAAGTTCATCCCACTGTCGGTGTTAGGGTTTGGGGTGCCATTGCGTATGGTAGGTACATCCATGAGGGGGTGCAGCCACATGTGAAACTATACACCGTCCAAAACCCATATTCCAGCAACACAATGCTAGACCACATGTTGGTCGAGCATCAATAGAATTTATGAATCAGCACTACATTAACCGTTTACCATGGCCGCCAATATCACCCGATCTATCTCCAACTGAACATGTCTGAGGTATTACGGGTCGAAGGCTGTCGAATTTAGAACACCCTCCTCGAACTTTAGTAGCTCTTATGCATGAAGTTTAAGCAGCCTGGACCACCTTATCAGAATTATACCAGGCGTCTCAATGAGTATATCAGATATCGGGTGTCAGCAACACACTGTAGAGCCAGATTTTTTTAAACTTGTTTGATAGAGCTGAAAACCTATGCGATTGCTAAGCCAGAAGCTGCCATCATGTATACCAAGAATTACTAAAATCTTATGAGAAGGGGAGCAGTTTCTCATAAGATTTTTCTATTTTCTATTATACGAGTACTCTGAACCCCCACTCAGTACTCAGGATAAAATTAAAAATGATATACGTATACCCCTATAACTTTTTTATTCTTTCAGTTAAAAAAACGAAATTTGGTATGACAGTATATGACATAAATTATGATTGATTGACCTATTCAATTGTTTTCGGTCACTTCCTCTGTTTCACCGGAAATGACTACAACTTTTGATTTTTAAATGGCACCCTCGGTATATTTTTACTTCATTCGATAGAAAATGACACTTGGAATAGAATGACATATCATATGTCAACTTTTGACATATTCGCTCAAAAACAAATTGTATCTTAAATTTCAAGCTAGAGTGCCATGGCTGTGTTAAAATCACTAATTTTTAATCAAGGAGCCTGGGAAAAATAGATGTGATCGTCTAATGTTTTTACAGCGTTTTCAGACGGAGCGGAGCGTCCGCGACTTCGAGCAAGTAGCAAGTTTATATAAACGATTTCACATGGGTCGCGTATGCTCCGTCCGGATGAGCTATATTGCAAAAACATCCGCGCGTACGATCCACTCCATCTGAAAGCGTTGTTAGTGTCTTGTCCTGGCCGGTTAAAAGATGTCCAAATCGTTTATTTAATCACATCTCAATTTTTTCAAATGGAACAAGGGTGGCTCATTAGCATATCTGGAAAAAGCATTTTTTTACGAATAATTTGATACCACACACTTGATATTTAGAGTCAAATTGTCTTTATAAACCGCAGGTTACAACTTCAAATAAACCATATGCAAGCCATATGCGAAAATGACAAAAGTTGACATATGATATGTCATTCTATTCAGAGTGTCATTTTCTATCAAATAAAGTAAAAAAATACCGAGGGTGCTTTGTAAAAATCAAAAGGTGTAGTCACGGATAACAATTGAAAATGTCAATTAATCCTAATTTATGTCATATTCTAACATACCAAATCTCGTTGTTTTAACTGAAAAAATAAAAAAAGTGTTATAGGGTGAGCCACTTTTAAGACGCACCCGGTATACAGAGATATATTATACAGAGTGATCCACTGTTCCAAAAAACTTTCATATAATTTACTTTTTGTTATTTTCACTCCAATCTTGTTTACACGATATACAGGGTGTCTTTTAAAAATGGTAGATACAGAATATGGTTATTTTGATCAGATCTACCAACCCATAAAATACTTGCACTTATTTCTGAGGCACCCTGTATAGGCTCTATATTTTAAAATAGTTTTATTGATATACAGATTGATTCAAATCTATTTTTTTTTTACTTTTTTTATGTAGTTTTTTAAATTAGAGTGCTGTAGTTAAGCTACTTAACCGCTAAAAATTATAAATGCTTTAAATACAAAAAAAGGTTCATTTGTTAATTATCCATCTAACAAAGAAATAATAACAGAGTGTTCCATTAAAAAAAGCGAAGAAAAACTTTAATAAAAAAAATTATATTTTAGAAAGTTTGGCATAGAATTTTGAAAATCCTGTATGTTTTAAGATTACGATATTAACAGCAAAGTAAGTACAGACCAACCTTAGACCAACTGTAGTAAATACCTAGTACAGTTTTGATTTCAAGACATTTCTTGTATTTTTAATATTTTTTTATAAAAATGCTATTTTTTTATTTACTTAGTTATTAATATTTCCGAAACTATCAAAACATATTTAACAATATCAATGCAATAATATACAGGGTATTCCGTTTAAAAAATCATTAAAATATTTTTATTATAGGAGCTACAGATGCCCGACGCATTGTTGCCGAACCCATGTAAAATAGGATAAACTTGAACCGTGGCAACCCGTGTGCTACTTTTTGATTGGCACCCTGTTAAAAGTGTATTCTCCTATTCATAAATATACGTAAAAATTAGGTTTTGCTTATAGTATACTAGGGCTTATATTAAGAGTAACAGTCGTTTCAGATTTTATTACTATTTAATTGTTAGCATCTGTATAATATGGGATATTACTTATGTATGCTTACTTAAAGCTACTTTTGCACGTTAATAATATAGGTACCACATATGCAGATAATTTAATTATATTATGTTCAATTTTAATGCAATAAAATCATTTTATTAATTATTTATTTAGTACATTTCTAATTATATAGACAGTTAAAAGATTTTATCTAATTATTAAACTTTCTCTAGTATTGTAAATATTTTTTTCTAAATGTTAGAAAATAAGACTCACCAGCAAAGAGGTACCATCTTGATTCCATGTTCTGTATTTATATTTTTTATATATTATAATATCTACATATATACATTAACACTCTGAAATGAAGTTGACGGTATATGTCAAAAAATATACCAAGGTATATGTTTGACAAAAACTGACGTAGAATGCTGTAGAATTAATCGGTATTGATTAAACGCTCGTTAGTAACTAGGCAATGCGACGGTAAAATATATACCGTGTGGTGCATCGGAAAATGGGACATGAATAAAAGGAAATCCCGTATAAATTTTAAAAGGTTAAATATTACCTTCCCAGAAAATTTTATACCAAAGATGTAAAAGACTATTTTGACGAGGCGTTAAAACTGAACCTTCGCCTAGAACGTCATTTAACTTGGAATGGGCGTTTAGATGATATACAAGGTGGCGCCTCTCATACGACGCGGAGTTTCCAGGGAGAACGAGAGTTAGCATTGAAATTAAATTTTGTGAGCGTATGTAAGCCATGTAAGCTAATTTACAGGGGAGTTCTACAGGGTGTAGTTAAAGTTATGTTTTTTGTTGTAATGGAACATACATATACAGCAGCCACGTAAAAATAAGACTTATTTTTCATATCAACAAAGGTCCGATTCTGCTTTGTTTAGTAGCTACAGGGTGTTAAAGTTTTAATAATCTTAGGATTTATTATAATTTTCTTCCAAGTACTTTTAGTGATTCCAATGAAATTTTGGGGCTAAAGGTTACTATAAGTGGTACATATTTTAATGCTAAAAAAGTATTAATAAATTTATCAGGGACGTGCATATGGGTTATCAATGGAATATTTAAAAAAAACATGTGCGCCACTATTTTTTTTTTATTTAACATAAAAATTGTGTAGGCCGTTTAATGCTAATTAAAAGTTGCCTCTTGATATTTTGTCCAATTCGGCCTCCTTGATGGGATAACGCAATTTTATTAATCCACAATCAATAAAATTAAAATAAAAATAAAATTAATAAATTATATATTTCACCTAATTTCTTATTAAATATTACTGTATATTATTTAATTTTATCATCAAAATTTCATTCGAAACGCTAAAAGTACTTGGAAGAAAATTATAATAAATCAAAAAAATATTAAGATTTTAACACCCTGTAGCTTCGTAACAGAATCGGACCAATGTTTATATAAAAAATAAATCTTATTTTTATGTGAGGAATCAGCCCACGAGAGATGGCACATGTTTTTTGAAACACCCTGTATATTAATTGAATTTTGGATTCAGCGAGAAAAATAAAGGTGAGTTTTATTAGAGAAGCATATGACTTAAATGGAGTGGCGGCTCGTCAGGTGCAGTAGGTGAAGGGGACTTCACCGAAAAAATACTCAAATTAAAGAAAAAAATTTACTGCTTAAAATATTAATTTAGTTTAATATATTAACTTGCATCTAAATAATAAAATGGTAATTTTTTATTTAAGTTATTTATTTTTTTCCGGGCGGACCTCTGCATAATAGGTCCACCGCATCGTTAATTCCGACTAAAAAAGTAGCATTATTATAGCCTACAAGCCAGAAGTGCAAGTGAAAATGTTTCTATTTCTGAGCCAAGCGGCTGCACGGTTTCCATGGTAACGTGACGTCAGCCTAGCGGCAGATGTAAATCCCCACGCCCCGAAGTTTATTATCGGTGACCGATGTGAATGAGCTTTTGGTTTTGGGCAGTTCTCTTCGTCTTCCTTTTGTTCAGGAAATGCGTGACGGCGGCGCATAATTTATGCATTTATGCTAATATTCGGCTACTTCGGTGAGTAATTAACCGTGTAAAGACTGTAAAGTTGTTGTTGTTATTTATTGTTGTTTGTTAATGGCTTTTGTTGATTTAACTTGTTAATTTTTGCCGATTTTTTGCTGTTTGTTTTGTTGTTGTGTTTTAAAACTGTTTTGTGTGTGTGTGTGTGTGTGTGTTAAAAAATGAACCCAATTAATGACTTGGTGTACAATTTATTGGAAACTCCCTTCAGACGGCGGACAGATGAAGATAAGAAGGATATTTTATCTCAAGGGCGACGAACTGAAACTTTAACCATAAATTGCAAAAAAGAAATAAAAAAAAGTGGTAAATCTTATAATATTAAATTTAAGTCTTCTTGGTTTTCTGATTTTAATTGGCTATGTAGTAGTATTGTTTTACAAAAGTTATTTTGTTGGTCGTATTATTTACTATTTTCTAATAAATATGGCATTTGGAATAAAGAAGGGTTCACTGATTTCGCAAATATAACAACATCTTTGCATAAACACGGGGATTCTGCAGAACATTTAAAATGTCAGTAAATGCTAAGAAATTAAAAAAAAATCAAAACACAATAGCCGATGCTTTAGAAAAAAACGTTAGACAACAAACTAATATTAGGTTAGTCGCTATTACGTTAGGTAGTTAACTTTAGTCACAGTCCTTCATTTACTTTCCAAGAACTTATGGCTGCCCTAGAACGTAAGAAGAAAAATTCCTCCCCGGGTGTTGATCAGATATCGTATCTTTTAATAAAGAATCTTCCTATAAAATTTCAAGAATTCCTGCTGTCACTATATAACAAAATTCTTCTCCAGTACTACCCTATCCCGAGAGAGTGGAAAATTGGAATTGGGTGTCCAATTCCCAAACCCAATAAATCATTAACAGACATCTCCGGGTACCGACCCATGACCTTATCGTCCTGCGTTGGCAAAATGATGGAAGATATGATAAAAACAAGAATCGAGTGGACCCTCGAGAACGGTAATATATTAAAGAGCTCCCAGTCTAGGTTCAGGAAAGGGAAAGGAATATTGGACAGCATGGCAGCACTAACTTCCACAGTAGTGGATGCTCTTTCAGACAATGAGTATATAACACTCGTGTTCTTGGACATGAAGAATGCATATGACAATGTGAAGATTGATGTTCTCATCCAAAAAATGGCAGCCATGGGTCTGGAAGAGGACTTGTGCAAATATCCCATACAGCACATCAAATCACATTTACGATGTGTTTACATTATTAGATGTAGACACAGGGTGACACAATTCCCCCGATGTAAATATGCTACGTTTACACATTGTAGTTCAACACGTATGCACAAAGGTTAAACGTCCGCCTCACAATGTAGCCACAGTATAGCATTTACGTATACACAAAGGGATACGGATACACAGTGTGCCGTAGGATACACAGTGCTTGTGTATTACGTTTAAACTATGTTTACACATTGCAGTTGTGACTACCGCATATATACGTATGTATTTTGCTTCCTTCTTTTTGCAAGATGTATATAACATCTTGTGCTAGATAAAACTACTTCTTATGAACGAATTTAGGAAATAATACAAGTTTTGATGCCTAACTTTTCGTTCTTTTTAAGAAATATGTATTCAATGATACCAATTATATCTTTTTAGAACGAAAATTAGGAAGGCAAAACTTTGTATTTTCCAAAAGTATCTCGATCGTATGTTCAAGAGAAGTAGCCTTAAAATTGTTCCATTTTTGTTTTGTATTAAATGTACCATTTTTCTTCCATAAAATGGATTAAGTGGTTAAAAAATAAAATTCTTATATTTCTTTATATCGTGCGCAAATAACACAATAATAATAATTATTTACACTGCAGAAACCAGAAGTAAGAAAACACTGTAAAAGAACAGAATTTGTATCAAAATGTATTAAAAATATAAGTACCTAGTATAACAACATACTAAAATGGTAAACACTGGTATATTGCCACGATTTGGTGGACCTCGTTTAGTCATTTCTTCAGGTTTTTTCTCCTCTTTTCCCTACAAGCAGTTGGTTTATTAGCATACTCATTCATCGAGCACTCTGTTGGACTTTGTTGTATTTTATTTCCAGATTAACAATCTCACCCTTAAATATTATATGAAACTGACTATTGAATATTAAACATATCTGTATATTGATCCATCAATAACTTACCGAATATCAGTGTAAGAAGTTCTTTGAAGTGTTTAAATCTTTCTTTTTCTGGTCCATTAAGATTTTTATTATTTCCAAATTAAAAAAAATATATTACAGAGCTAACCTCTTTATCATTATACGAGAATATTTGGAGTTTTCATTCATTGGAGTCAAAATTTGGTAAATTGGGTATCGATCAAGGGAAGAGTCGCTGCTATAATATTAATAATACTCTTAGGAAGGTATAACAAGGTAATTAAAAACTTGTGCTTACCTTAAAATCTCTTTTAAATTACACACAAACAGAACATTCATATAGAGCTTCCGAATGATAAAACAATAATGGCTGCTAAACACATATCACTCCTAGAAAGGAGAAAGGAGAGAGGATACATAAGATACACTTGGTCGGTGTGTCTACGCTGAGGCTATCCGCGCATGCGCACACCTTCATGCAGTACACTATTACAAAGTGTCTATATAGATATTTATATTATGTGTATACGTCACATTTTTACAAGGTGTGTACTATAGGCACAACTATGATACGAAGTATTTATTACACATACATACGACTTATACATTGTATGTCTCATATACCGACGTCAGATTTCATCATTTTAATAATTATTTGTTACGTTACAAAAAACTCTTTAGAATCTTGAGTGCATACGGTATACAACTAGTAAACACTGTATCACATAATTCTATCAATATAAACCTGCGTGTATCTCATATGTATATGTTAGAACTAGATGAACACTTAGGTTCACTTTAACATATGTTGTTTCTCATGTGTCTCCCTTGCAAAAACGTAATTTCATTTGGACGTGCTATATGGGATGTAAAAAGAATACACTCAGATAGAGAAATCTACGTTCTGGAAAAAGGAAGCAACAAGATGATAGGATCCGGTCTGGCCAACAGGGGAGTAGCTCAGGGCTCACCCCTTGCTCCGATATTGTTCAACATATATATGAACAGCATCGGAGAATACGTTTCAGAGGGAGTGAGAATCCTTCAATACGCGGACGATATAGCTCTTATCACACAAGGTCATGACGCCAATGTCATGGCTCAGAGGATGAACTCCACATTGAGTAATCTAGAAGAATGGTCTAGAGACCATGGCATTCAATTCTCTCCAGAAAAGTCCTCATGCCTCCTGATTCAAAGAAGGAAACGCAATATT